AAATTTTTAGCAAAGTTCTTATCAATGTATTCTTTTAGTGCAACCAACTCAATTTGCAATAAACTATAGATAAATTCAAATAGTACTTGAACTCTTTCTTGCAAATCAATTGAACAATCATAGGATTGAGATTCTAAAAGAATATCTATATTTTTATTTTCAAAAATATTCTAAATATCTTGATATTGGCTAGAAATACTACTTGACAACTTTTTACCATCAAAAATAGGCATGGCATATATAGCAAAAGATGACTCTTCTTTTGCCACGTATATGAAAGTTTTTGCTTCTACCAATAAGGATTTAGATGTATTAGACTTATATATTTTTACTTAGCTAACAAAATTTTAGATTAAAATATAAGAAAAATTGAGCTACACGAAATCTAATCTATTTGAGGATTATACTTTTTTAACCATGATAATTCTAAAATAACTAGATTAGAGAAAGATCTTATTATATTATTATATTATTGTGATCTCTAATTGCTACATCTATAAGAACAATCTCATGAATAACATCTCTAAAAGACAACAAACAACTATCTATGATTTTTACATATACAGATTTAGTTTTCTTGACTAGCAATATTTCTTGTTTTTTGAAAAAAAACTTTGTTTATAAAATAGGTTGAGGCTCACGAATCTAATAAGGCTAAGACTTTATGATTTTTTGGTCCTAAATAAACTTCTATTATGAAATAAGGTGAAAGATCTAAAAAACAAATATGGCCTTTACTAAGTGTTGAATATGATTCCAATTACATAGTCCCTAATATAGTTGGAGAAACTCATTTTTTAATACATTGTCTTCATTGGCAACCATGCTCCTCATTTTGTGAGTGCATTGTTTCTTTGAACAATGTTGAAAAATGTACTAAGCTTCTCCATAATATAAGTATAAACCTTTTTGACAACTTTGAGTCTTTTCTTACTTAATGAGAGATTTAAAACGTGTTATAGATTATGATCTTAATGAATAAGTTTTAGAAGCTTAAGAGTTACTATCATTACTTGACTTATTCTTCTCTTATCAAATCTTTATTTTTAACATCTTTCAAATAATTGATTATTGTACATAATTACATATGCAATAATTTATTCTAAAGAATTTTTTTTTAGCTTTATTTTTAATAAATCTTTATTATTATCCTTTAATTCATATTAAAATTGATTAATAAAGGCTTTTTCATTCCAATCCACATTACAAACAAGGTTTTAGAATTCAATAGCATATATGATAGCTAATTTTGATTCTTATTGTAAAGATAAGAACTTGATTTTTGCTATTCTTTCTTGATTACTTTTTCTAAATGTAGATATAAACTTTTCTAAAAATGAATTCAAATCATAAAGATATTATGACTCCTTTTCTATTAAAGGTGCAAACCAAAAGAAATCACTTCTAGATAAAAGTGCACCTATAAATCCAACTTGAGTAAATCTATTGAAATATTAGAAAAGATGCAATCTTAAATAGAGCTTAATTTATTGCAAAAATCATCAAAATTTTGGACTTATACCATCAAATGTCTCAAGAATACTAATCCTTACCTCTTTTAGGTTTAAAGATACAAGATTTCTTGAATTCGATTGTGAGACTAATCTACTTCCTTCCTTCAACTATATAACTTCTTGGTATAGACTTTGGATTACTTTCATAAGTAAATGAATAGTACTTTTGTGGTTGGTATTGATAATGCATGAAATTTCTATCCTAAGAGTGTAAAAAAGTTTATAAAAATTTGCAATAATTATAAATCTATTCTCACTTGTATCAAGTATAGCATTTATGATTATTCTTTTTTTTCAAATAATTTAATAAATACACAAGTTAAATTAAAAAAAGGTAACCTACAACTTCCAATGTCAAATGAAATTTTTTACAAAGAAAAATAATTTGCTCTCTTTAAGAAAAAATTAATATTAGAAAACTAAACTCTTTGTTTAAAGGTGGATAATTTACAACCTTCAAAATATAATATTAGAAGTAAAGTAATCCGCTCACTTCTAAAACAAGACAAGAACAATGACTTAATACTCTTCTCAAATTGTCAAAAATATAAATCTTAAAGAACTAAATATTCAAAATACTCTTATGTCACTTAAAAAGACTAGATAATCACTCAAAGATCATATAATATTAAAGTAGCATAGCTATTGCCAAAGACAAGAAGACTAGAAAGGCATTGACAAGATTGAGAAAGACTTCACTCTTCCTTCCATATATACTATATAACTAAGAGCTATGTGACAATGTTCTGTATAACTTCCAAGACATGTTGACTTTGCAAGACATATCTTAACTTGTAAGGCAAGTTTTTTATATGTGCACCGCATAATTATATTATTCTACAAGCTACCAACACATGTGATACATGGTTAATTTATTGACCAAGTTTCTAATCTATCAATCAATTACAATTTCGTATAGAGTCAAAAACACATCTATGAAGCTTCTAGAAAGCTTCTCTAGAAGATATTACAAAATTAATCTACTTTTATCTACTTCTATCTACTTCTATCTAATCATATAGATAATTATTATAATAAATATGTATATCTGTGACACCTAGTTGATATTAGCCACAAGTTGTCAAAATTAAAAAGTATACAATATTATTAATTCATTGTCTTAACACAAAATGTGAATTTTTTTAATTTCAATACAAATTGCATCATGTTTTTTATACATATTTTTCATGTATAAATTAAAAAATTTATAAGATTTTATTAAATTTTATAAACATGAAAAAATTAGATATATAAAATTTTATACCATGGTTTTTATATAATATGCAAATTAGATATTTAGATTCTTTTAGATATGATTCAAGCACATGACTCTAAATAATTTTTAAAAAAAAAAAAAAACAAAAAACAAAACAAAACAAAACAAAACAAACTTCCAATCATTAGTTATTGAATGAGAAAAATAAAAGAAAAAAAATATAGAAAAGAAAAAGAATGTTTGTTTTCAAATCAAAAAAGGCTAGAGAGACTTGAATTCAGATTAAAATACAAAAAAAAAAAAAAAAAAAAAAAAAAGAGTGGCATTATTCTTACTACCAACAATGTTAGCTATCAAGAAGGCCTTGCAAAAATTCATAAAGGACCACAAGGCTTATGGTCCATGCATCAAGTTGTAAGTTGCTCTTAATGCAACTTCTTTAGAAGTAAGGAACTTGTGGAATAAGTATCAATAGTTTAGTGGCTTATTTATAAAAATTTAAAGATCTATTTACATTTAAGAAACTTCCTTGAAGTATTTAAAAAAAAAAAAAAAAAAAAAAAAAAAAAAAATCTACCTAACATATTCTACTTACTTATATTTATTTCTATTTACTTGATTAATATAGATATTTGTTATAATATGTTTGGTGGTTATTAAAATTTATCTTATAAGTAACTTTGTTATAAGTAACTTTATTTATGTAAAATCATATTTATTATAGATATTAGGACCACTTTATATTTAAGAGATAAGAAGAGATGCCCTAATTTTTAAATGATTTAGCAGATGAAATAAAGACCTTTCCTTCTCTTAACTTTGTACTTAGAAAAATAAGTCGCAAGATCTAAAAAAGAGAAGAAAAAAAATAAAATAAAAGAAGAAGTAGAATTCATTATTTTTATACATAACATAAATAGTTTTGTCTTTTGGAACTTCTGTTGGACTTATTTCAAAGAGGTGGGTTTTAGGAAAAAATTAAAAAACCATGTTGGAAAATACTATTTTTAACATTTACTGGTTGTTAGCAAATGATCCTCATGGTAGAAATTACAACCACTACAATGCATTTGTTGCAATCTCAAAAAGCTCAACATGAAATTCTTTAGGTCGATCAATGTAATTTCTACATTGAAACAACCACCAATTAAAATTAAATAGGTGTAGCTTGTTGTAACTTTTTCTCAAACACAGTTTGTAAATAATCGTCAGAGTGATAACAGACAATTTATGATCCCTCATCTATTCATAATCTGTGCTGTTGGTGACACATGCAGTAGGGTAGTTGGAGGTGGAATTTGATGGGACCTCGGCAACACGAAAACACGAGGCAGAAGCGATGCATTCGCGGATTGGGAAGGAGCTAAAGAACGAAGGGATTGGACGACATGTTTGATGGAAGGGAAGGGATTGAAAATTTCTACAAATAGACTGATACTCACTGTCAACTATCAGTGGCGAGGGAACTGCGTTACAGCAACGGGTATCTGGTCTAGTGGTATGATTCTTGCTTAGGGTGCAAGAGGTCGGAAGTTCGATTCTCCCGAAACCCCCTTCCTTCCTGTTTTTTTTTTCATTTTCATTTTCCTCCCAACTCCTCCCTACCTCCCCCTTTGCCTTGCTTTGCTTTGCTGCCCCACACACTCACTCTCTCTCTCTGGCTCTTCCATGTGCGCTGCTGCCTCCTCCACCCACATATAAACATACAATGCAAGTGGCTGCTCTCCTCCCTTGCTCATCATCCACTCCACTGTTGCTGCTATACCCACTACATCGCTCCCTTCTTCTCCTTCTCCTTCTCCGTCTCCTTCTCGGTCTCCTTCTCCCTCTCACCTCTTCTCCCTTCCCTTCCCTTCCCTTCCCTTCTCTCCTCTCCTCTCCTCTCCTCTCATCGCTCTGCCCATCCACCCATGCACCACTCCTGCTCCCTGTCGCTCCTGCTTGCTTCTCACCAACTTCTCGATCACTTCATTGCTGATCGATTCCCGGTTTGAACCATCACCAATTGTTGAAATCACGCATGAACCATGTGCGCGAACAAAGACAGCCTGCCTTGCATATCGTCTTTCCTAAAAGTTCACGCGTTCCAACACTGTTGACAGGAATTGCACGGGTGTCACATTTTGATGCACACTGTTGCACGCAGCTCTTCCACTAATCAACAGTGAAATACACGTTTGGGCACTTTTTGATCCTCTCTCACCTCAGAAATCCAGCTTGCCATCGACAACGCCTTGGCGTGGCTGTAACATCAATCCAGAATGAAGGTATGTGCAGCGCAAACGGCGGAACCATGCGATTTCAGACAACCTTGTCATTTTGGCGATTTCTTGCCAACTAAAACTTTATAAGTCTGCATCTACATTTGATGATCTGTTTTGGTCATTTTGGATTCCTTACCACCTCCAATCTGAACAGAAACATACGCTACTCTCTTTTTTGAGTTTCCGTCCAACTTAGACTTCTCAACTAAATTGTCAATTCCTGGCTTTCCCCAGCCTTCCAACTCCGCTTTCCAGCTTTCCAATTCGGCTCTATCCTCTACACTAGAATTCCCGACCATCTCCTCATGGCTTGATGAGACCACTGCTTTCACATTTGAGGTGACGGAGCTGGGTGCAGGAATTGCCTCTTTAGCGATACTAGGTGTTTCTGTAGCCTCTTCTCCAAGAAGCTCAAATGGAGAATCCTCTAAAATAAAGCTTTCATCCCGCTCGTACAGGACTGGTTCCGACAATCCAGTGCTATGCAGCTTCTCCTTCACCAGAGTGGACCGATCATCAGTAAACCAGCCGACGTCTGGAAGATTTGTAGAATCTGATAGACTCGTTGGAATTGAGAAAAGCTCTGGAGTGTGTTGAGGAGGCAGTTTTTCAAAGAACTTTATCTTTTCACCGTCCCAACTACATTCCAAATAAAGGGGAATATCTACTGGAACAGATGAAACTTTCATAAGCTGCATGGAAGACGACACCAAGTTGAAAGCTGCGATCGTTTCATAAAGAATGTGCACGAGTAACACACGCAAGCGAGCAAGCATAGCCATCATAGTGACGGCGAACGGCATGAAGAAGGCCTGACTCAATAGTCCGGCTATCGGCGAGCTCGCACTTAAGATGGGCTCTGCCATCAGCTGTAGTAGTCGAGCACCTCCCAGCAAACGCCGCTGGACAGTAACAGGCAGGGACTCCTTGGATTCTATGCGATGTCCCAGGCTGGTTAAGACAACTTTGGGAGGTACAACTTTTCTCTTCGAAAAGCAGACACAATAAGGAAGCGCCTCGACCACATGTTGGAGTCCAAACGACTGAAGCAGATGTAAATCTCGCCGCACTTGCATCAAACGACGAAAATAAATCGTTCTACGATGCTGATTTTGATTCTTGTACATAATTCTTTGAAAAATAGCATTTTCATCCCAAACTTGGGTCAACGTCGCTTTCAACCGAATTTGAATGGACGTTACCTCTTCCTCAATCTCCTTTCTGGCATCGGCGACATCAAAAGATGCATCCGATAATGTACTGAGACAGGCGGGCAGACGAGGAAGAAAGGACAGTGGCCCAGCTTCCTTCCCCATACTCAATCGTCACCAGCTCGTGGTCTAAACTTGTATCTACAGTCCCCTTGAGAACTGACCACAAGATTCAGTACCCTAACACTGAAAACTTCACTTCCAAAACCCGAAACCCTGATTCATGTGTCCATTTGCCCTGCAACTCAAAAACAGCCAACAAAATTTCACGCCACATTCGTAGTCATGAGAAGTTGAAAGAATAAGAAACCTTCACATCACACTATAAATCTTGCTCAAACCCACAATTTCAAAACTAATGATCATAGAATCGCGTTCCGATGCTGGGTTTTGAATATCATCTCACACATCGCGGTAAACAGTATGTCGATTCATGTCGTTCGTTTACAACCTTGAGCTTAGGAGAATAAAAACTAACCTCAAAGATTGTATACACCCTTGTCCTCATCGCGATACGTTACCGAGCATAATCCCCTTGGCCACCTTCATCGTCTACTCCGCTTCAGTCATTCAAAGACGCCCAGAACGAAGCGCTCAATCCTTACGCATCATTTTGAAATCGAAAAAAGAAACCCTAAAACATTATGTGGAATAAACGCGAGAAAATTCGCCGCAGAGTAGGCAATGCGAAGAGCAGAAAGCATGACGACACAGTCAATTATGAGCGCCGCCGCTGCCACAACAATTGACAACAGAATCGCACAGCGCTACGAGCCAGATCCAGGCCATCTAGAAAGGGAACGCGGGAACGTGCTATGACACTTCACAACAAACACCAATCAAAAATTACACATACACTGCTTGCCCATGGAAATTCCACATCATCTCACACGCAGGCCACACCGACTACTTGAAACTTTCCTCCATGAAATCATCGACAAGTTAGTACGACCTCCCCCAAGATAACTGGTGTGAAGATACACAGAGCCTTACCGTATATGTGAATGACTGAGTCCTTCGTGTGTAACCAGCACAGCAACGGTTGGGATGTGCAGTGCACATGCTGCGGTTGCTTTCGTGGCTGATTCCTGAGAGAATAGCCTTTGATCACCAACGCAGTGATCGAGAAGTTAGTGAGACGTGAGCAGGCCAAGGAAAAACAAAAAGTTTAGGGGGGGTATCGGGAGAATCGAACTCCCGACCTCTTGCACCCTAAGCAAGAATCATACCACTAGACCAGATACCCGTGGCCGAAGTGCCGTCCCTTCGCTACTGACAGCTGGCGGTCAGTACCGATTAATTTGTAGAGAACTGCAATCCGTTCCCTGCCTTCCCTTCCTGAAGTTGGCTTGGCTTGAAGGTGCTGCCCTTCACTTCCATCAAACATGTCGTCCAATCCCTTCATTCTTTTGCTCCTTCCTAATCCGCAAATTCTTTGCTTCCACGCTATGTGTTTGTATTGTTGGGGTTCCATCACATGCCACCCCCCAAAAAGTCTAAGGGCCTCCTTTAATGCTCAATGGGTGGACAATGCTATTTTTTGACTTTGCTTGCATCTAATGATCCAAGGCAAAGTCCACCCAATTCCAAAATCATTTTTATCAATGACAATATTGTAAAGCAATCAACAGTCTAATATCAAGCTAGGATTTCTTTTCAAATTAGGTTTTGTGATAGAATTTTATAAAATCCTCTACATTTCTTTCAAAATTCTAAATGATTTTTTAACTACCATATATATATATATATATATATTGATGAGTACTTAAAGTTAAATACATCATGTAGTCTAGGAAGTTGGATTCAAGGACAATGCACAAGCAAATTTTCCATCACTAATATATCCTACATCAGCTATAATCAACTTAATATTATCAATACTTTTAATTTCAATCATTGCCTTGTTCAATCTTTTCTTTACAATCACATCTTTGAAGTGATTTTTCATTAGAAGTACATAAGAATCATGTACTAACTTAAAAATGCCTACAAAAATATGTATAAACTCAGCTTTATGATCCATAATGGCTTTAATTATTATAAAATATTTATATTCACAATCACACTAATTTATTAATATGGATCTTGTAGGTAGAACAAATTAGATATGACAACAATCCAGACCATCATAATATTGTGGTATATCATAGATATTTTCAAATCAAAGTTTTATATTTTATATTAGAAGAAAAACTTTGGCCATTTTAAATAAAAAGGTAAAATAACATTAATTAATGCAATAATAAATTGCTTACAAATTTTTACACTTGTTGAATCATCCACACTAAAAACAATAACCCACAAAGTCATAAATGTCTCTAGTCCTAAGGCTTTTTCAAGCCTTTTCAATGCAATAACAACTTATTTAGGAACATTCATCAATGGCCTTCTGATATTAATTAGTTTAGGAAGATGATTCTTCTTCAATTATTTATGTACCAAATCACAAACTTATAAAAAAAAAATTAAAATAGATAATCAAAAAAATTGACAAAAGCATGTAAGATCTTCTTGCATCATCAAAGTTAAGAGTTTTTTCTACTAATGAATTCTACATAGCTTGGTATAATTAAGACCACCTTTTGATCCAAATTTATTCATCTTACAAATCTTAGAAATAAATATTTTTTAAAATAATTATTTATATTTCATAACTAAATGAATGACCAAAAAAAATTCTTCAACTTTCATTTTATATTTTAAAATTTACAAAGTTGATACTCTCGGCATTTTTTTTGTTTGACTTTTTTCAAATATTCCATAAATTTTCAATTGTACCATAGTTCCAACTAATATTGTTGCTACTTCTATAGCAACAATTATAACTCTAATGTTGGAATTGTCTATATAACATGATCTTTACAAAAAAGTGTGTGATTGATTTTAAATAAAAAATGAATGTCAATGTTAAAAAAATCAACTATTAAGATTATCAGAATAAAAATAAAATAAGAAATTAATGAGAAAAACAATGGTTATACAAAATGACATTGATTTCTCAATGGATTTTTTTTTTTTTAATGATATGATAGGTCATTCTTATAATAAATAATTTATACATGATAATTAAAACTATTGCTTATTTAAAAGAGCATTATTAATTATTTTTATGCCATTGCTCAAATTAAAAAGAAAATTTACTTAATATTGTTCCATAGAGGTGGCACTATCCATTCTCTTACATTCTAATTTTATTATATCAAAATGGTACAATTCTTTTAATTATAATTTTTATTTATATAAGTATATGTATCCATTTTCTCACATTCTAATTTTACCATATCAAAATAGTGCAATTATTTTAAGTATAATTTTTATTTCTATAAGTCTATGATTTATCTATGATGAATATCCTCTTGATCATGTACATTACTAATGGCTTTAATAAATTTAAGCCTAGTCTTATCTATAGAAGTTAATGCACCATTTGCAACCTTCATTGATAAGTGATGTTTTTTGGAAGAATAATCAATGGATGATTTACTACTATTTATAATTCACAAAATGTCATTGTTAAAAATGCCAAAAAATATTTTCATTTAATTTATATAATAAATTTAAAATATCTTCATATATAATATTTACATATATAATATCCAAAAAATAAAATATAAAATTTGAAAATATACCAATTAAAGATGCCATTATTCTACTTTCAAGGAAAAGGCTTCTAATATCCATATCTTATGAAGTTTTAAAAAACTATTCCAACATTGCTATATATGTGGTTTGATTCAATGGTGACTCTGGAATTCTTTTTGATGGTTTTTTATAATCCAATAGATGCATAGAAAAATAACTCAACTGACTAAGGAATGTTTTTTATTCAAAATCTATCCTTTTACAATGACAAATAGATATTATCTTAGTTTTGTAAATTCTACTATCTTTAGTACCATGAGCTTCTTCCAATTTTATTTTAATCTCATCTTCTAATTGTATTTTAAGCTTTATTAACTTAGGATTTCAATTGAAATTAATAGAAGATCTTTAAAAATATATTTTCTATACAAAAAAATTATAATAAATATTTGAAGAATATTAATCTTCATAAGTTAAATTTATATTTTTTAAGATTTTTGAAATAATTAAAATCAATAAAATTGGATTTTTCATGATTTTTGTAAAAAATATATATAAATAAAATTTTTAAATTTTTATTTATAGTAATTTTTATTTATACTTAAAAATTAGAAGTTCAAGAAATATGAAATAAATGTTAATGTATTAAAAATAGAGAGTTATGTTAAAATAAAATAAATAAATAAAAATATTCTTACAAACTCACATATTTTTTTTGAGCTTGACTTTCACAAGCTCCAAATTCCTCTATATCTACAACAAGATTTTTTTACTTCTAACCACATTTCTAAATATTGAAAAGAACTAAAATGTGTTTGATTTTATTTTTTAAATAGGAAACTAAATTTTCATAAGAAATAATAAAAAGATATGATAATTACCTATTATTATAAATATATATATATATATATATATATTTATTTATTTATTTATTTCAATAGTTACTTATATAATTAAATAGAAGTACATAAGTATAGATTAATTTCATAATATCTTCTAAATAAGCTTTCTAAAAGCTTCATAGATATAGTTTTGACTTCACACATGTTTATGTTTGATTGATAGATTAGAAACTGAGTCAACAAGTATCATGAACATACACATATAAATCAATAATTACCTATATGATTAGATAAAAATAGGTAAAAGTAATTTAATTCTATAATATCTTTTATAGAAGCTTCTTAAAAGCTTTTCAAGGACATGAATCTCAAAGAAAGAGAATCCTTGATACACTCTTATGTCATTAAAGAGAACTAGAAATCACTCAAAAGGTAATGTAATATTTACTAAAATGGCTATTGCCAAAAATAAGAAGACTAGAAAGTCTTGAAACAAGACTAAGGACTAGAACGGCATTGATAAGAGTGAAGAAGGCTTCATTCTTGCCTCTATATATACTCTTAACTAAGAGCTATATGGTGATGTCCTATAGGACCTCCAAAATATGTTGACTTTGTTAGCCACATGTCTTAACTTGCAAGGCAAGTTATCTATGTATGCACCACATGGTTAGCTTATTCTACAAGCTATTATGCGGAGTTAACTTGTTCCACAAGCTACCAACACGTGGTTAACTTGTTGGCCATGTTTTTGACATACAAACACATCTAAAATCAAAACCGAGCTTATGAAGCTTCTAAGAAGCTTTACTAAAAGACTTTATAAAATTAATCTATATTTACCTATTTCTACCTAATCATATAAGTAATTATTGAAGTAAATGTATATATCCATGATATTATCTCTCCTTTTAGGGACGAGTTCGAAAAGGAGAGGTCTTCATATGTTGAAGAAGTTTAAGATGTGGCAAATTGTATTTACCACATATTCCAATCTTTACTCTCTTTGAAGATAGTTGATAGGCCCTTTTAGCCATCAATAGTATCTCATACCAAGGCGAGAAGACCACCCTGTTATTTGGTTGTTTTTGAGGCCTTTGTATCTTCCTTCAAATAAAACATTTGAAGTATCGTGATGAGTTGTTCCTACTTCTAATAAAATGACCAAATAATAAGAGTCTCTTCTAAGGTTGTGATACCAAACACATTATATTTTTCCATCTATACAAAGAAAGACATGTCATTCTTGAAGATCTTCATCTGGATTCTATTGTCTTGAAGGTTATGACAATTGCAATGTCTTTTCTAGTAAATCCACAAATGAAAGCTTTTGAATTGAATTTGGTGGTTGTTGGTTCTCCATCTCTTTAGCATCACAAATATACACAAGCTACAAAAAAAGATAGAAGGTAGAATATTATCTTCCTTTGATCTTAGTTCTTTTATAGCAAAGATTTGCTATACTTTATTTTGATTTTGATGGATTTTGTTGATGAAAAGCTTCAACTCTTTTTTGTTGTATTTATAAGATTCTTTAATGGCTCCCATGTGCATTCACTTTTATCATATCTTCACCAATGAACAAGATATTCCAACCTATTTTGATGCCACCTTGAGTCTAAGACTTCTTCCACCTCGAACTCCTCATTATTATCTACTTCTATAGGAGGAGGTGGCATTTTTCTTCTTCCCAAAATATTCATTGTCTTATATGA